GTGAAATCTGAGTGAGAAGAGACGGCCATGCATATAATAAATCCAAATTAAATTCAATTAACAGGAGGGGCTTCAGACAACCACTCTGCCCGGTTTCAGCTTGGGAAAAAATACAGGCTTGGGGGAAAAAAAAAACTGGGATTAATCTAGGAAGGCAGCTGGATGGCGGTTTCCAGCCGATGAGCCTTAAATCCAGATTATCCCAACAAGGCTGCAAGCAAAGGACAGAATTAGGGGAAATAATCACATCTGCTTTACGGAACGGACATCAGAAATGTCCTCCAGATGAGAACAGATACAGATAATCAGAATTGATCTGGAAGGGACTTTGGGAGGTCTTCTAGTCCAGCCCCCTGCTCAAGGAGTAGACCCTCTACCGTTTCAGCCCTCGACTTACAACCACAAACGAGCCCAGCGTTTTTGTGGCTAAGGGAAACAAAGATCGGCCAAGTGAATTTTCGTCCTATTTTATGCCCTCTCTTGCCACCGTTGTTAAGCAAGTCATCGGGCTTTCCCCCTTGACTTTGCTGGTCCGAAGGTTGCAAAAGGGGAATTGTGTGACTTCCCCATCCCCCGGGGAACCATCGTAAATATGAATCGGTTGCTCAGCGTCCGAATTTCGATCCTGTGATCACAGAGAGGCTGCAAACGACTGCGTGAAAAACGATCATAAGTCACTTTCCCCAGTGCTGTTGTCATTTTGAACGGCCACTAAAGCAAACTGTCATAAACTGAGGACTCCCTGTAATCCCTTCCTATCTTGGTTTTTTTTTCTGCTTTCCCCACAATTTCCTTCCTTGCTTCCCAGCCTCCAAACCCAAGAGCCCTGTGTAACACCGAAGCTGACACCCCTTGATCCCCAATTTCACCCCAGGTTCAAAGCCGGGAAGGTGGAAAGAAAGGATGGGTGGTTGTTGTTTTTTTTAAACACTAAGGTGACCAACTTTTTTACAATGAGAAGGAGGACACAAATAAATTGAAGAAAAAAACAAAACCAAAGCAAAATTCAAAACAAAATTCTCCTGTGTGGAGCGCATGCGTCTCATAATCGCGTCTTGCCGCAGTGTACCAATCCTTGGCAAATCGTCATGCCAAACACAAAAACGTCACATCGCACACAGCGGATCGGCTCAGCATCGATCAAATACGGAAATTTACAGATTAATCTTCAAATATCAAAAAGGAGGACATGTAAGGAGGCCACTTTTCGAGGGAGGACAGAACTTACAAAAGGAGGACTGTCCTCCCTAAAGGAGGATGGTTGGTCACCTTATAAATACATTTTTAATTTTTTAATTTCCACAAACACGTCATTGTGTGAACCGTGTGGCTCCAGGGTGTTTCCCATTTTAAAACAAACATGATATATAGTTTCACACTGATAGGATTAATTTTCTTGCATAATTTTGTATTAATACGTATTATCGATCTTAATTTTTTAATATTCCCGTGCACTATTTTATGTCAACCTCTCCATTCTTCTTTTATCACTTCTTTTATTATAAATTTTATATTAATAGTCGTATTTGCAGTATTTAGCAAGTTTTGCAAGTTGAAATAACCATTCATAAAATTCATATTAATTTATGTTTTCTATTCTTTATCCCCTTTTTAAATTCTTGATTGTGCCACCATTATACTTCAAACGAAGTCCCGTCCTAATCCCAGTTATAATGGGGGGGGGGGGGGTTTTCTTCCCTCCTTCCTCCCAGTTAAACACCCTGATGTGGAAATTGGGAAAAAGCAGGGAAAAATAAGGATATTCCAGGCAGCCTTCGACTTCCTCCCTTCAAAGTTACATCCAATCCTAGTTTAACCAACCAGGGAGAGACAGCGTCCATCCTGGGCCCTCCCCAATCATGGCTTGCAAAAGCCAGACGCGTATGCAGAGCGTCCCACGCGTGTTGTGTGAACGCAGCTGGGAAGGGGAAAGAGCCCTTTGCCCAGATCTCTTTCCTAGTTTAAATCGTTTGCAAAGATGATTAGGCTGGGAAACAGGGGGGGGGGGAGGGGGTTTCCTCCAGCTAACAGCCCCCAGATCGGCTTGCTTGGCTCCCTGGCCCGGCTGCCTGATTGCAGCTTCTCCCCAAACCCCAAAGGGGAGCCCGGGGATCGCAGCACCTATCATCCCCGGAGCCAAACCCGGTTGCAAAGAAAGGTTGCACAACTGAGCTCTTTTGCAAGCAGGCAAGGCCCTGGGGGAGGCCACTGCGGAGGAAGCCGGGGAGGGAGAGAGGAGGGGGACACCCAGGGCTGCCCTCCAAGGTGCTCCTCCAAGGGCCAGACCCCTGACCCGGGTACCTGATCGTGGGAAAGAGGCCCGGATCTCAGCCCCGCCCCTGCATCTCCTCCGCTGCCATCACCGCCTTCCCGCAGGTACAGCTTCTCCGGAGGGGCGGGGACAGAGAGAGAGAGAGAGAGCGAGAGCGAGAGAGAGAGAGCAGGGGTTGTGACGTCAGACAAAGGGGGAGGGGCCCTTCCCTTCTCGTCCCCGCCCCTTAAAGCGCACTTCATGCACAAGGAATAATAATAATTATTATTATGTACTTCATTCATTAAACATGAAACTCAGGTCAACTCAACATTCAAAAACGCATCACAAATACCACTGACTGATATGGTTGATATGGGTTTCTGCCAGCATCCTAGGTATCAACCAAGTAGATGATGATGATGATGATGATTATACTATTATTATTATTATTATTATTATTATTATTATTATTATTATTATTATTATTATTATTAGTATTAGTATTAGTATTATTAGTATTATTAGTATTATTAGTATTATTAGTATTA